GAAACTGGGAACAGCAGGAACAGATTTAAACCCAAGAGAGCCCAAGAGAGGAAGTAACTGGAGATGCTCACAGAGGAGTCTGCGGTCTCCGCACCGGCACCACCGTCCTGGCCATTCTTTGCCTCTCAGAATCTGAAGTCTGCCAGGGTTGGCCCTAGCTGTGCAGAGCCCTGGACCAGAGTATCTTGTCTATGGGTTTGGAGGGGGTGGGTAGGCGATGGAACAAAGGAGAGTGCAAAAATGCGGAGTAAAAAAATATATCTGTACATATTGTCATGGCCCTTTTTTCTGCCACCTTGGAGCCTGTGGAGGCCTGCTGAGAACAGGACTTCTATAAGGACAAACCTGTCTGGAAGGCTGTGGTCCAAGGCCATTTTTGCCAGCTATAGTGGGGTCTCCAGGACCATAGGGAGCTCTTCTTAAAATTGAAGGTGTTTATGATGGAGACGAAACTGAATTCTGTGTGGGCAAGAGATGTGCTTATGTATACAAAGCAAAGAACAACACAGTGACTCCTGGTGGTAAACCGAACAAAACCAAAGTATTCTGCAGAAAGGTGCTCCTGGAAACAGTGGCATGGCTCGTGCTAAATTCCAAAGCAACTTTCCTGCTAAAGCTACTGGACACAGAATCTGTGTAATGCTGCACCCCTCAAGGATTTAAACTTATTGAAAAGTAAATAAACAGCCCTGAGTGGTGTGGCTCAGTTGGTTGGAGGTCTTCTGGCAAAAAACGAAGGATTCCCAGTTGGGGCACATGCCTGGGTTTCATTTCAGTCCCTGGTCGAGGTGCAAAGGGGAGCCAACTGATGAATGTTTCTCTCTCATATTGATGTTTCTCTTTCTCTCTTTCTCCCTCCCTTCCCTCTCTCTAAAATAAACAAGTAAATAAAATATTTTCTAAAGTAAAAAAAAAAATACATACTGTCATGAGCAAAAACTGTAATTTAGAAAGAGAGAAAAAATAACTGAACAGGTGGATTAAAAACTATATGCTAAACAGAAGATCAAAGATTGTCAAAGAGGGCTAGAATAATTGGTTATCCTTTCGTTGGCCCCCCTGAGATTAGAGAGAAGTCATCGATTAATTTTTTTAAGTGGTTTTCAATAGTGAATTGTCAGACAACCCCTTTCAGAATTTCTTGGTGTTCTATTCTAAGCCAACAACAATTTTTTGGATTAAATTTCTTGAGAGGTGGGAGGGAGACACAAGAGCCTGGCAGAAAGCACTACCAAATCTGTCACCCTGCAGTTTATCAAGTTGGGACCAGTATGCTGTTTCCAGACACCAAAGAAATGGTCCCTCACCAGGAATTTAATTCTAAAATTGATACAGGCATCAGAAACACTACTGAGGGACCTTCTGAGGCTTTGGCCAAGAAGTCAGCCTCCCACTGGACCCTGGCTGCGGGAATCTACCCTGATACCCAGTCTTGCTGTTTGTGCAGTCAACATGTGAAGTAAATACTTAATGTCTCAAAGGGGCCAGAAACATTTCTTTGGAGTGACCCTGAAAACCGGGACTGGGCTATCTGTTACCTCCCTATTACTCACAAAGAAAACTGAAGCAGTAACTCTGAAACCCAAGAAAGGTTCTCAGAAAAGCTTGTGTGCCCAGCATTCATTCTCTTTTCTAAGATTAGTGGGGTCACCTGGCAAGCCCTAGCCCACCCAGCATAGGAAAGATTGTACCTGCCTGCTCATCACCCCAATATTTACAAAATAAGCAGCCTGAAATGCTTGTTTTCACACTGAAAATATTACCAGCAACAAGCATCCAGTCAATGGTCTTATATCCTTTTTTCTTAAAAATAAACATATAATTTTATGATGATGATTGACACTATTTTTTTTTAGGTTTTCTGCAGCCACTCAAAATCTAACTAGCTGATATTACACTTCCTCCTTAAATTTCTTGGCTGTTTTAAAGAATTGTGCGGCATCCTGTAAGTGCAGCACTTGACCAACCAAGTAGTTTCAAGGAACTCCTCTTTGGGTTTTAGTTGTTTCATTCCCCCATAGTGCACTGACGGGTGCCAGGCATTATGCTGGGCACTGGAAGGAGAAAGAGGGGAGAGGGACAAAATGACAATAAGCTACCCCAACCCTTAGCAGTTGGCAATCTGTCTAGTGTCACACACACATACACACACATTCACTTTAACTAAGCCTAAAATAATCCTTCCCTTTTCTTAGTATTGGAAAATTTTCAAGAAGTCCAGTCAGAATAAAATTTTCTGAGAAATCACTACCATTCAGTCAACTACAGGAAAATAGTGGTTAATTATAATAGCACGAGTAGATAAGAAAGATTAGGGAGATTTGTAAACCAAAGCAAGTGCTGCACATATATTAGCCCAACATATATAATACTCATCCAGATCTGGTCTTTGACTTCTCCTTTCAGGACCAACACTGACGCCTTTAGTAAGGGGAGGAGGCGAGTTGAGCTCACCGGATTCCAGCCCTCTTCAGGTAGACTTCCAGGGGCTCAGCCAGAGCCTCACATAAAGGAGAGTTACCAGGATCAAGTCCCTAATTAGTTACACAAAGAAAAAAACATAAACAATTTGTGCACTTGGTGGTATTCATTTCTTTCTTTTAACAAACTGCCTTTTGGGAAGAGAGTTGTCATAAGGTCAAATCAATCATTTCTGAGGGATTAAAATACAGGGGGGTGGAGAGACAACAGTTCAGCTTAAAGGCTGTCCACTACTTTAACCTATTGTTTGGTTCATATGAGAGCCACATGCTCAATGTGTAACAAAAAAAGAGAGAGAGAGAGAGAATAGAAACAATAAGAAAATAAGAATTCAACTTCCCAGCAACACAATATGATCCACTAGGTAGAAAATATATGTAATGTTTGTGTGTATGAACAGATATATGTAGATTAAAGGTTAAATTGTCTTGTTTTCTGAGTTTCTTTATGTCAGTGTATTTTCCCCAAAGATCTTTTCCTCTCTGGGGGCCTTAAATTCCTAAATGTTCACTGTGCAAGTAGATGCTAATCCTTTCAAATAGATCCCCATTTCCAGGGCCTCCACAGGCATTGTTTGAACAAGATAGGAATGTCTCTGGTGATAAAACCAGCCAGATTAACCAATCCCAGGACATGGCCACTTTCAAGGAAGTCAGGTTGATCATGATGCTGCCCTAGTGGTGGCAGGAACCTGGGCAAAGAGATGGGCCTGCTCATGCCTTAGCTGGTGGGAAGTTTCCCCCAAGGATGGGCCTGCCCAAGCTTCTGCCTTGGGGACCCAGTCGCCACTACTACTGCTGTCCCAGCTCTGGTTTCTCCTAGGGTCCAGGAGCATTTTCAGCAGAGACACAACTGTGAGCTCAGACTGGGTGTTCCAGCAAAGGAACGTACAATTTGAGTTTGGACCAATACAGACCACAAACACTTTGTTCCATATCTGGGCCCATATACCCAGGCTCTGAGAGGCCCCATTGTGACCACCGTTCGCCCCGGGCTGAGGCTTGGCGCTGACCCGGTCGTAACTGCCAAGGGCCTGACAATAGGCACATCTGTCCTTTCTCTGAGGGATGAAAGCACCTAAGCGGACACGGGTCTGCCTTTTGTTACAGATTTTTTCTTTCTTTCTTTTGTAAATGAAATAAAAGTCGTGGCATGTGGCGGCCGGGGTATGTCCCACACTGGGGGCCTGCCCACGTGTCCCCACCAGGCCCAAGGACCAGGTTCGATTCCGGACTGAAGCACGATTGTGAGAAGCGGACAATTACGCCAGAAGCTGAATTGATTTTCAAATCTGGAGGCTTCTCGCGGGGACGCCGGGAAGAGGCGTCCCTACGGGCCAAACGGAGACCGGCGCGCCTGGTCCACCATGCCGGTGTCAGTCCTTCCTGCAAGCAGTGGCTTCTGGGTGCTTTTCCAGGAGGGCCATGGAGAAACTGCAGAAACGGCCGGAGACTCGGTGGGCCCACCAACACCCAGAAGTTAACAGGGGAACCCACCAGGGCACTCCCCACCACCAACACACACACACACACACACACACACACACACACACACACACACACACACACAGAGTCATTGGTGAAGCAGACGCGCCGCCTTAATTGTCATCTGAGCCAGAGATGGACCCAATCAGCGGGAGACAGCGAGGTACTGCCCGGACTCTTGGCACTGATCGTTCCAGACCACGGAAGAGGAGGGATTGGTGGGCAGAGGACTATCAGGGAGGTCCAAGATTTCTGGGTCAAGAGCCACCAAGTTAACCAAGGCCTTTAAGATACTTGTTCCGTGAGCAAGGGGAGAATGCGGACTCCCAGAAGCCCTCCGGAAAATAAAGCTTAGTAGGCCAGGGTGGAAAGAGATATGACACAGTCTCAGCATCCCGGGCAACCTGCGCCGGGAGGCGGCAACTGGAGAGAGGGCCGACGGCTCTTCAGGCATAGCGCACCACCCAGTACGAAAGCCCAGTAAGTGCAGCCCAGGGCTGGGAGGAGAGCCCATCAGAACCAGGGAGCAGAGAGGGGCGCAAGCCTCCCGGGGTTGCGGTGACGGCCCCAGGTCGCTCTGCACGCTGGGCCTTCCCACGTGCGCGCAGCAAACCCGGCTACCCCGCGCTGCTAGGAATGCGCGGGACCCCTCCTACATTTGTACGCGGAGGTCTCCGGCCGCGCGCGGGGGCCGAAGGGGGCGGGGCCGAGCCGCGCGCCTGCGCACAGCGCCCAGCAGGCGTGAGGGCGGGCCGCGGCGGCTGCAGCGGCGGTGGCGGCGGCGGCACCGCGGCCACAGAGTCTGCAACAGTAACCGAGCCATGGCTCGAGCTGGCCAGCGGCACGGGCAGGCAGCAGCCGCGGCAGGCGCGCGGGCTGCGTTAAGGGAGCCAGGGACCTCACAATTCTAAAAAGGAGAGGGGCGAGAGGGGGCTAGGGGCGAGGGGGCTGGGGACACCGCGCTCGCCCAACGGCGCGGATCCTTTTTGGAAATTAATATTAAAAAAAAAAAAATCCGAGGACGCAGAGGGGAAGGTGGGGGCAAGAGGGAAGGCGAGACACTCAGAGAGGGAGACAGAGCCCCACAGTGAGAGGAAGGAAGGAAGGCAACAGTCGCCGACAGCCGATGTGAAGACCGGACTCCGCGCGCCCTTTGCCGCCTCTGTCCGGCCTCATCGATGTTGTGTCCGCCGCCCGCTCGCCCGGATCACGATGAATGCGCAGCTGACCATGGAGGCGATCGGCGAGCTGCACGGGGTGAGCCATGAGCCGGTGCCCGCTCCTGCCGACCTGCTGGGCGGCAGCCCTCACGCGCGAAGCTCCGTGGCGCACCGCGGTAGCCACCTGCCCCCCGGGCACCCGCGCTCCATGGGCATGGCGTCCCTGCTGGACGGCGGCGGCGGAAGCAGCGATTACCACCACCACCACCGGGCCCCCGAACACAGCCTGGCCGGCCCCCTGCACCCCACGATGACCATGGCCTGTGAGACTCCCCCAGGTATGAGCATGCCCACAACCTACACCACTTTAACCCCTCTGCAGCCGCTGCCGCCCATCTCCACCGTCTCGGACAAGTTCCCCCACCATCACCACCACCACCATCACCACCACCACCCTCACCACCACCAGCGCCTGGCGGGCAACGTGAGCGGTAGCTTCACGCTCATGCGGGACGAGCGCGGGCTGGCCTCTATGAATAACCTCTATACCCCCTACCACAAGGACGTGGCTGGCATGGGCCAGAGCCTCTCGCCCCTCTCCGGTTCCGGTCTGGGCAGCATCCACAACTCCCAGCAAGGGCTCCCCCACTATGCTCACCCGGGCGCCGCCATGCCCACTGACAAGATGCTCACCCCCAACGGCTTCGAAGCCCACCACCCGGCCATGCTCGGCCGTCACGGGGAGCAGCACCTCACGCCCACCTCGGCCGGCATGGTACCCATCAACGGCCTTCCTCCGCACCACCCCCACGCCCACCTGAACGCCCAGAGCCACGGGCAGCTCCTGGGCACAGCCCGGGAGCCCAACCCTTCCGTGACCGGTACGCAGGTCAGCAATGGAAGTAATTCAGGGCAGATGGAAGAGATCAATACCAAAGAGGTGGCGCAGCGTATCACCACCGAGCTCAAGCGCTACAGCATCCCACAGGCCATCTTCGCGCAGAGGGTGCTCTGCCGCTCCCAAGGGACCCTCTCGGACCTGCTGCGCAACCCCAAACCTTGGAGCAAACTCAAGTCCGGCCGGGAGACCTTCCGGAGGATGTGGAAGTGGCTGCAAGAGCCGGAGTTCCAGCGCATGTCTGCGCTCCGCTTAGCAGGTGAGCAGTTCAAGGAGTTGGGCGAGAAGGGATGGGGAAGCCTAGGGACCGAAAAAGAGGGAAGGAGAGAAGGCTGGGGCCGCTTCTCCCCGTCCTGCTTTTCCTGAGAGGGGGTCCTTGGGCCTGGAAGAGCCAGCACGCGGCTCCAGGCAGCAGACAGCCTCCTCCAGGACTTAGTGCGTCGGACTGTGGAAGGCTCCGGGAGCTGAGTGGCGCGGTCTCTTACTGCGGGGACGCATTTGTGCTGGGAGACAGCGCGGGAAGCTCGCGTCGCCCGAGACGGAAAAAAAAAAAGTCCCCGCATCTGGCCAGATACCATCTGTGCGTCGCTTCTCGGTTGGACACTCGGGTTTGGGGAGAGGGAGGCAACGCGTGCGTGAAACTGCGCGCCTGGCACACACTCGGGCGCCTGGCTGGAGCAGCTTGCCAATGTTGTGCCGAACTCGCTGCGGTGACCCCCTCCCGCCTAACTCTATTGGCGCGGGGTGGGGCGGGGTGGGACGGGGTAGGTAGCACAGTCAGAGTTCGGGCGAAAGGTTCTGAAGCCTAGGGGCTGTGGGTGTTTGACGCGGACGCCGTGTAAGGGTTAGTACGCACTCTGAGCTCGCAACCAGCTTTGGAAAGGAGAGAGAGACAGACGGTCCGGAGATCGCGGTGAGGGTGACGGAGCCACCAGGGAACTTAAGCCGAGCTCAGAGGCAGTGCTCGCTGCCCACTCGCTTAGGACTTTGCATTTTCATTTTATTCCTTTGCATGTTTCTCACGCCCCTCCCCCACATCTGAATCCCAATTCAGGGGAGAGTTAAAGTGTGAAAATAGCCCACAAGACTTCGAGCAGAGGACTCCCGGGTCCGAAACCCCGAATCCCAGGCGTTTCGGAGTTCAGCAGGAAGGTCTAGGAAGCGCTGCACAGAAACAGCGCCTAGGTCCCCCAACCCCTCTAGGCCAAGGTGCGGACAAGGCTCTGGCGCGCCGACTAGCCGAGGGGACAGCTAAGCCCAGCCTGAAAGGCACAGGGGAAATTCGTATGGATTCCGAGACCTCCGAGGGCGGAAACCACTAGAGGAGACAGAGCCAGAGGTAGCCGAGGGCGGACTCGGTTTGATGAGACGGGGGCTGAGCTGATTGACTCTTGGGTTCATTCTCCCACCCCCACCCCATCTCAGCCCGGCGCCCTGGCCTGAGTCCTGGCGAGGAGAAAGGTAAAAGCCGGTATGCGGGTTTGTTAATTAACTGATCGTTCTCCATTAATTCGTCCCTGGAGAATGAGAGACAGTCAATCCGCTCAGAGCCGGGGGCTCTGAGCAGTTTCACAGACTAAAATCAAAGCAAGAGGCCAGAGCCCCCTCCCCCACCTTGTCTGGCCAATGAGAAGCTAGAGGGAAGCAGGTGCAGGCGTGCCCGCGAGCCTGCGACTCGAGCCCGGATGCGACCCAGAGCAATCTTCGGGTCTGGGCGCTCGTGGCCTCCTCTCCCGAGCGCCGCGCTGGCTGAGTCTCAGCCCCACGCTCGTTCGCTCCAAGCAAAGACCCCACGCAGGGAAGCCGTGGATAGAGGGTCAGGAAGGGAGAGGTTGACCGGGTGTCCTCTGGGCTTCCGCGATTCCACTCTCTAGCCTTGTGTGCCGTCACCGTATCGCCGCCCCCCTCCCCTGTGGGCTGACCGGGACTCGCGGGCAGCTGAAACTACATAGGGGTGGGAGAAACGGCCACTCCTCTCCCTGACTGCTCTGCCTCTGCCGGTGCCCAAAGTGATCAGTACCTTTTCACACTCCTACGCCAGGGACCTTTTTTACCCAGGCAGCTCCCGCACAGGACGGCGGGGATGAAGGGGGGCGTAGTGGAAGTGGAGGGGTGCCCCCCAGGGAAGCCCGTTCCCCACCCGCCACCCCTTGAAGGCTCTTGCTTCGCACTTAAGTGACCCTCCTCCCTCACTGCCTCCTGTTGCCCCCTGAAAGGACAGACTGACAGATTCTGTTCAGATTACCCCTGAGCTATGGAAACCCAGCCTAGGGCCCTGCTCTGCGGGAGCACTGTCTGACCTCCACGCCTGGGCGCCACATTGCTGTTGAGGAGATGCCCAAGGACGGCTTCCCGCACGAGAAAGGCGTGAGCGGCGTGCTGGGAGAGGCTCACGCGACCCGGGCGGTTATCGAATGGGCGCCAGCCTGGTACCCAGCAGCCCGTGGAGTGTCATCCTCGGCCCAAGGCATGTGGCCTTTTCCAGGGGTGGGGGAAATCGGAGACTGGTAGGATACATGTTTGGCCCCTAATCACACACGGACTCCGAACCCTAAAAACCCTGATGGAGCGTCGTCTATTTTATTTTTCTTTCTTTAGCTTAATTAAAGGTGTGCGGAGGGCTCCGATGAGGGCACTTGCCGAGCAAACCGGGAGCAATAGGATTACGCTGCAAAAGCCGCGACCTATTTTAAGCCATTGAAGAACAATGAGCCATTCTGTTAACATTGTCATTTAGAAAAATATATAAGAGTGAAGCCACTTCCTAAACCCTCACAATGATCTCTTACTGGGCTTTTCAGGAGACTTAGAAGGGATCGCAGGGCATGTTGGCTGCAGCTGTGAAACCCTGCCTCCTCCTCCCAACCACCACCTCCACCTCCCATGCACCAAGATGCTCCTTGGAGCTTTGCTCCCTGTTGCAATTAAAGACCTGTCAACCTGGTGCCTACCCCAGGCCAAGCTGGAGCCCACCATGGTCGGTTCCATCGGTGGTGGGAGAGTGGCTTCTCTATGCTCCTCCCTGTGCCCCAGGTCTCTCGCAGCTTGCTGAGGAGAGTCAAGCCCTCCACACGTGGCAGCATGTTTGGGGAGGTGCCTTCTCCTTAGGAAATTATGTCTGCTGGTGGAAGACAGGAGACAGGAGGAAATTCTTACCAAATTAACTACATTTAAAAATCAATATATGTTTCCTCAGTGCAGTACTTGCTGCTGCCCCCTTCAAGTGCAGTGCAACCAGACTCGTGCCCCATGTCGTCCCCGGTGGTGTGGGTGGGCTGGGCTGTGTGGGTGGTGGGTGGGTGCCCCGCCTCTGACGTGGACGCCCATTAAGACGGGAGGAGATTAGTTTCCAATTAAAGATTACAAAAGGCATCCAACGCACTAGGGGAGCTGCCGGCTGGAGAAGAGGCTGCAACCCTTACCCACCAGCTGGCAAAGCACCAAGCACTGGGGACCTAGGAGGCGAGGCCCACAGGCCCTGGGTTCAGGTAGGGTTGAGCACTGGGCCACTGGGACACTTTGAAACCTGGAGGCGAGAAAACCTCCAAAAGGCGCCAAGGAGCCAACCGGATCTCCCGCAACTGGACTGCGCTGTGTTCCTGACCAGGATTTGCTCCAGAACAACTTAGAGAAAGGCAGCAGGGGCGGGCTAGGGGGGTGGGACTGGGGGGGGGGGGGCGATCCGGCCAGGAGGTGACCATGAGAAAGTCTCGCCCCGGCCAAGCTGGACTGTGTTTGCCATAAGTGGCCTTGTGGCTGGGTTGATTGATAACAGACCCCCGCGCAAGTTCATTTGCTTTTTGTTAATATTTATCCCAGCGGGTGACATTTCAACTGTCCTCTTGCTTCCCTGGGCCACGGGAGCTGGCTCTGGGAACCCTACTTCCCCAATCCTCGAAGACTCCAGGGCCGGGCCGGGAGAAAAGCCAGGACTAGGTGTGTGGGACGCAGGAACTGGAAGCGTGCCTGGGCCCTAGAGGGGAGGAGAAGGCGCCAAGCGGGTCTCGCGCAGTGCAGCTGCTTCCAGCCGGTGGCTCAAACAAAGGGCAGGCAGCGTGCTGCCAACCGCTCCAGTCTCAAATCCCGTGAGGAGGGCTTCCTTCAAAGGTCTGGGACGGCCTCTTCCCAGCGTGCTTGGGGAACAGGCCAGTTGTCAGGCGGAGACCTAGGAACCCCAGATTCTCCCCACCCCCCAGGTCGAATGGTGGCCAGGCACCGGGGGAGTTGTCTTAGGGACCCCCCACACACCGGCTCAGCAGGAAACCAAAAGGCCTCGCTCTTGGGGACAGTTTCCAGAAGGTTCTGCGTGAGCCTTTCTTGCAGTCCATGTCTGACCCCTCGAGAGTATTATACAAAAGTTTCCCCTTGCCATCCCCACTAGGGAGCACAAATCTTCATGAGGAGAGAAAGGAGCGCATGGAGGTACGAGGAAGTGTGCACACGGTTTGACCAGGGTGGGGAAGACCTGCTTCTGGGGCTTGAGGAAGCCTGTGGGTTTTTGTGTGGTGACTCGGGTGTAAGCATATTGAGGAGGACAGCTGCCTGAAATAAACACCGAGGCCTGTGCGAAGGGCCACTGGCTGTCCTGCCGGCGGTGCAGCCCTGAGCCCCTTGGAAGTGCCCGGAGGGTGATCAGAGTCGGCCGGAGGGACCCCCTGGCCCAGGGCTGCTGTGGTCACTGGAGATCCAGCCCTACCGTTGCTGTTTTGCAACAGGCAATTGGGATGGACTGTGCCATCCAATAGCAAATTGTGTTGTAGCAGCAGAGGGACTAAAAGCCCAAAGCACTCCTTATATCAAGCTTCGAGCTGTTAGTGCACCGCGCCGGGACCCAGACTCCTGCCCTTCATCTGGGCTCACCCTCTCCCGGAAGCGGACGGTCTGTGCCGTGATAGCTGCGCGCGCGCCCCCTGTGGGCCTGCGGGCCTGGAGCCCAGCAAGCCTCCTTGGTTCAACCTTCTGCGGAATTGTCCCAGGGATTTCAAAACGAGAGCTATTTTGATAGGAAGAGAGTGCGGAGGAGGAAGAAAAGGATACCTAGTGGATCCATCTTGGTCCCCCAGAATGTTTTAGTATAATCCCAGTAATGACACAAAATTGCCACCCCCTCAAAGTACATCCCAACCCTAACCTATCCAAACAAGATGCGTGTTTGGATTTTCTATTTGAATTTTACTTTTGCTGGCATGTTTTTATTTGAGAAAAGCAGGGTCACAGTAGAAAAGGTGACTCGGGCTGTCTAAAGCAGGAGGTGGGGGC